CAGCATTCAAGGGGCGGCCTCACCAGTGCCCAGCCACAGGGGCACGGTCGCTGCCCTGCTCCTGCTGGCCACACCGTTCCTGATACAAGCCAGGATGCAAGGTGTGGTCTTCTCTTTGGTTTTGATAGTTTTTCTGCTAGAACTTTTAATTAACCACAGCAACAAGGACTTAAGAGTTGGCATGAATTCGTACCCTCTCCTCCTCCTGACAAGTAGTCAATGGCATTAAAACACACTTTCCCTGCCTAAAGCTTGTAGTACTAGAACACTCAACCGATGGTGCATGTCGGTGCGTGTTCATATGCACGTTTCATGTTTCTTTTATTTCTCTCATTTCTTCCCTTGTGACACTTAGCAAATTTAAATAGTACCTCCACAGAAAAGCATTTAAAAAGACTTTTGCTTTTCCGCTTCAAAGAACTTGGCTTCCTTGGCATGAAGCTGTCTTAACCACAGTGGAGTGCTTCTGAACACCTTTGTGTTTCAAATGGCATCAATGATCTGGCCGTATCATGTTTTGGATGCTGAAAAGAGACTCCTCAGGACTGAAGAGGATGGTGAAGATGTGGCAAAAGAGGAGTTGCACCACCCTTTACTGACAGCAGCTACAACAAAAGCTGTTCCTTGCAAGCCCAGCTAATGCCCTGTTCAGCTCTTGCAGTTTCCCAAATCAAGTGTCATCTCAGATCATCTTCAAAAACCAAAAGATACAAATAATCTGCATTTTGAGACATGCAAAAGTCCCATATTTTTTTTCCCCCTGAAACAGTTCTTTTAATGTTTTCAAACCACTCTAACACTCAAAACACTCTAAGTGATGTCCAGTAATTTCCTTTTCAATCTTTTAGAAACGATTAATTCACAAGTTCAAGTCCACCCCTAACTTTCTCCATTTAAACGTTACATTCTGGTGTGCCTTTACTATTCCCTACCATCATCCACCTGCAAACGGGTTTAAATTCCATGAAGCTGTCTCTCCCAAATTCTGACCAGTGAATTAGGAAGAGAGGAAATGTGGTTGCCAAACCTCTACCCGCCTTCATAATGTCATGTGTTCAGGTTCTTTGGAGCCTGCAGATATGTCCACAACTTGCTGGTTTTCTACCTTTTCCAAGGTGTAATATTAAACAATTTCTTTTTTGTCAATTTGAACCAATCCCCTACTGCTCTGAGTTTGTTCATCCCCACCTGGCTCTTTTTAAAACTCTAAGCCACAGTGCAGGCGGCTGCGGATCCCAGGCTTGGGGAGACGATGCTGCTTTCATTTATGTTCATTACAAAAGCAGCAAAAATATTTTCCTTTTTGAGTGGCTGAGATGTCACGAACTCAGAGCAGAAAGTCCTCGTAGAAAATTGAAGACAAACGTTGCAGCATTGTGCAATGTTTAATTACACTTAGGCGTGAAAGGTAAGTCTTAGCCTCTCTGTGAAGATAAAGCTCGGTTTTAAGCCTAAGATCATTACTCATTTCCTTCAGCCTTAGCACCAGGACAATTCTCAGAGGCGTTATATCAGTTCATGATGATCGCTTACCGTTTTTTTCTCTCTTTTGGCTGGTGGAGGCTGCTGCTGCTGTGTAGGCACTATGATGGGTGCTGACTGATACACTGGCTGACTTGGGTAGAAAGGTGTTCCTAGGGAAGGACAAGACAGAAACAAGAGCGAAAAACTCAGTTCATTTGTTAAGGAAACAAAACCAAGCCCAAGAGGTAAAACTGGCCACCTACTCCTCCCTCCCTTCAAGAACCAGAACTTCTGACACCACACTAGTCTGTGTTTTGCTCTTCCCCACTTTTGCTCAAACAGAAGCTGCTACTCCATCAGGACAAGCAATTAAGTCACCACTACATTTTTTCCTCCGTGAACAGAAAAAAACGATCACATGCATCCATTTGTTCATGTCTTCAGTGTTGGGCCTCTCACTCCCAGAAGGACATGGAGGGGCTGGAGTGTGTCCAGAGAAGAGCAACAGAGCTGGGGAGGGGTCTGGAGCCCAAGGCTGCTGGGGAGCAGCTGGGGGAGCTGGGGGTGTTCAGCCTGGAGCAGAGGAGGCTGAGGGGAGCCCTCATCGCTCCCTACAACTGCCTGACAGGAGGGAGAATCCAGGGGGGGTTGGGCTCTGCTCCCAGGGAACGGGCAATGGGACGAGGGGAAACGGCCTCAAGTTGTGCCAGGGCAGGTTTAGGTTGGACATTGGGAAAAGTTCCTTCGCCAAAAGGGCTGTTAAGCACTGGAAGGGGCTGCCCAGGGCAGGGGTCGAGTCCTCATCCCTGAGGGTACTTAAAAGCTGGGCAGACGAGTTGCTTAGGGACAGGGTTTAGTAGTGGGATGGCAGGATTAGGGTAACGGCTGTGCTTGATGATCTTTTCCAACTGAAACAATTCTATGATTCTATGACTTCTGAGATGCTGCTGAAATCACCAAGGCATGAAAAGAAAAATGGCCCATCCTTGGACTCCTTTGACTGATAGAGGTGGGTTGGTTGTTTGGAGGTTTTTTGCCTTTCTAGAGAAATTCAGTCAAACCATTACAAAGAATTTGCAAGGTCAACTGCAACCTATTTTCAAGCATAGCCAGAAAATTTAATTACAAGCCATGTTCTTCGCATGCTGCAACACACAAAAAAAGCATAACCACAGTTATTATTGCAAAATGACACCACATTGTTGATTACATTCATAATATCCAATATAGTTTCTTTATGTTTTTCTATACAGAATAAGATCGGCTCAAAACGACTGAGTGCTTAAAAGATGTGCCAGATATCAATAAGGGTGGCACTGCAGAGCCGCCTTCTCTCGGTGGATCAGGTATCAGGTGAACTTTTAAGATAGTGCTGCCTTTTTTTTTTTCCTTCTAAGCACAGATGCTGGAAGGAGCGTCTGCTTGCACTTGCATCTGGAGCAACCTGATTTATTCTTCAACTGAACTAACCTTTAAATGGGAAGGAAAATCTGTATTGTGCATCTGTAACCATAATGGGAGGTTATTGCTATCTCAAGTATGCAGTGAAATCCAAGAAAGCAAATGAAGCCAGCCCAGCACAATCTGATTTGCAACTTCAAAGGATGCATTCCTCAAACTGAGAGCTGGAAAGCAAAAGTTCGGAGCAGGCTCCCTGTCTGCATGCTCAGAACAAGAACTTTTCTCCGCTGAAATAGCAGGCAGGTAGCTGAAACCGGAGGAGCATTGCACGGCACTACCATCAAGCTGCTAAAAGCTCAACCTGCTATATCCACTCTCGGATGCTGCAATTAAGGTGGCCTAAATGACTCAATAAACTTTTCATTTTGAACATCACAGTAGGCAGCGTGAGTTCAGATCTGGCCTCAGGGCACAGAAGTCTGTGTTCAGCATCCCCATGGCATGGGAAGCAAGAACCGTTCTGCCTCTCTCCTTAAGAACAGTGATGAAGCCTCAAACTCTTCCATCTAACGCTTTGGCCAAGCTGGCCAGACATACAACATGAGCATGGATAACATGAGAGGACAGGAGCAAGCCTGGGAGCCCTGCAATGCTTTAATTATCTTGATTTTTAGTTTCCTAGAAACCAGATCTAATCAGGTAGCCTGTAACGCGATCCCTGCCAGAGAGCAAGCTACAGTGTAACTCAAGGAAGGACTCTTCCTTTATGGAAAATATTTAAAAAAAACCCCCACAAATCCCAAAAAGCAAGAGTGACTTCTGGGAAGAAATACAGCTCCTGTGGCAACAAGCATTTTTCAGTGCAACACTCTTTGCTCTGCGCCCTGCCTTTTGATGCTTTCCAGTTCAGCAGCACCCAAGTTTTATTCTACCCCCTTTCCACTCATCACTCCAAGATCTTGCCCAATGTAGCACGGAAACCTGCTGATTTTAGAAAAGAGAATGATAAATTGCAAAACTGAGAAGTTAAAAAAACCCAAACACACTGTCCATCTTCACAAGCTTTGTCTTCTCCGGTATTTTGTTTTATCACCTTCTTTACAGCCTGCCAAACTGCGATGATTTTGGTGTCTAGGAGCCACACTGGCTAGAGAGTCTCGAGGTTTATGGGAAAGGCTGCTGCCAGCAGCATTATCCATGCCTGTATTGTAAATTTAGTTAGCTCCCAAACACCACGAGCAGCGCCTGGGGAGAGACTGAGCATTTCCAGCCCTTATATAAATAGCAAGGAAGCAACAGGAGGGAAAGGCAGACGAGTACAGGCAAACCTGCATCATCCTCTTCCTTGGCTAAACCCTCTCTGCCTGGAAAACGCTCTGCGCAATGGCAGGTTCCAGCTTCGCCTGCTCATGCTCTGCAGATGCAGCAACCTAAAAACAAGCTGGGACTGAAAGATTAGAAGGCTCTGTGCAAGAAAACAGGAACTTTCAGGAGTGGAAAGGAACTGGAAGGGAACCTTTTCCAAATTACAGAAGCGAAGACAGACAAAGGGCACTAAAGCGAGCAGAAAGTAAGAAAGCAGACCTGTAAGGGCAGAAAAAATGAGGAATACCAGGTGATTTCCTCATTTGGTGGCTGAGATTTAAAGAGCCATTGCAGTACTTATTTTATTTTTTCTAGGATAAGCAAAAAGGAACTAGCTGCTTTATAATTGCGCTCTCTCCTTTTATTCAGAAATTGCATAACCAAGTTTGAAGGTTTCATGGCAAACTTTGAAAGTAGTCCTGTTATCTCCATATACAGAAAATAAAAAATAAAAAAAAATAAAAAAAGAGTGCAGACCTTCTAAAATTTTAAGTAGGGAAGCAACTGGGGCTTTTCTCCCCTTTAAAAGGAATCTGTATTTGTGAAGAGCAAACATGCAATTCTGCCAACGTAACGCTCCGAAATACCAACAGCTAAAGCCCCGTGGAAGGCTGATAGTATCTCTGCCCCCAACAGATTACAGAATGTGTGTGGGCAGGTAGCAATCCGAGTGAGCAAAATACCTCAAATTCGGTATCAAGAGGTGAAAACCCTTTAAAAAAACCAAACCAAAACCAAAACCATACAACAGGGTGCTGACTAGAATCATCCTGGTGGATTTTTCAAATATTCATAGAAATGAGCAAGGAAAGGTAAATTAAAAAACCAGAAGTGATATACATGACTGGAGAATACCTAATTTTGAACCTCATTCAAATACAGCTTGCAAGAGCTGATTTGTTTCAAATATCAAAAGACAGATCCCACAGAAAACTGTGTAAGGGACCAGGATGTAAGTATGACCTGTAGTGTACGTGGCAGCACACTGGAAATTATTAAGCAAGGACTTAATTACTTATATGTAAAAGATGACTGCCAAGAGAAGAGGCATGGCGGGACATTGAAGGAGATGGGGACGCAAATGAAGGGCAGTTGGGAGGCCCTGGAGGAGCCAGGGGCTGGGGAGATGCAGACAGGAGGGATGCCCAGCACCAGGCATGCAGCCTCTCAATTTTTAGGTGCCGCTTTGAAGCTCAATACCTGGAGGAGTCGATCAACTACACTGAATGCAGCGTGCCAAACAACCACAGCACACACACAACGACGTCGGGCAACCTCCCAACCCTTTTGCCTGACAAAAGGCAAGACCAGGAGTTGCCCATTAAAAGGGCAAATTTCAGCCTGTGCATGGCTTACAAAATCTTCGACTGGCCTAACTTGATCTCTGCAGCGTAAGACCGGCAAATCAAACCACATGGCTTGTTCTTTTCCCTGGCTAAACACCGAACAAGGAATACAGGGATAAGAAATGTTAACTGCTGTATTGCTGTGAACAGATTCAGGGCACAGCTCAATGGAAACCAGGGCTGCCAGATGTATTCACAATACCTTAATAAATAATAATGACCAAGCGGGGAATAACAAATAGCCACTATTCTTGTTCACATGTGATTATGGGTAGCTCTGTGAGTTACAGCCTTTCCTTAAGCACTCATACAAACAATACTCTGTTATTGTGAATTTTTCAGGAGTGAATAATAAGGGCTGTGACACAACCAAATTGAGCAGCTATTTGAAGTTCAAACAAATGCTAATCCATTTCGCTGTTACAAATCTTCAGCTTGACAACAGAAAAACACACCCAGAAAAACACTTCTTAAGAACTCTCCAAGCAGAAATTACCATAGGCATTGGGGAATTCTCCAGGACCTGGTCCTGGATAAAAGGGTCCTGGTCCTGGCGGCTGAACAGGATACTGCTGCGGGGGCCCGACATACGGAGGGCCACTGTGACGATACTAGGAGGGAAAAAAAATAACTATCAGTTTACAAGGACTGGGCAACTTCATGCCATTGCATAGAGAACCTGTAATTGAGCCCACCCAAATCAATAGGGAACTGATTATCAAACAGATTAATTACAGATTCAGAAATGTTACTGTCAAAAAAGAGAGGAGGCTACATCATCTAAAGACAAGATGGGGAGGATACGAGAGCTGAAGTAGAAAACAGTCATGCCCCTGATTTCAGCAATATTGTGTTTTTATGAGGCCCAAGGTTTTAGAGTAATTGTAGAGCTACTAAGTCAATTGAGATACATTTACAGCACTAAACATTTTCTACAAGCTTAATCTAACACTGGTTTTGAGGGGGACCTCGAAAACTAGAAAGGCAATTTATTCTTACTGCCTCCATGCACAGAAGAACAAATACTTCATACAGAAAAAGGACAGAGGTTAAATATGCAGCTCCCAGCTTAATTTCCCCTCCCTCCCAACTCTGTGGCAGGTCTTGAGAAAATCCAGATGGAGCAAACGTTGCTTTGCAGTTCCTTAGGTGGCTGGAGAATGTATTTTTACCTGTGGTATACAGTACTGGGGGCCCTGAGGCATCGGGTAGGGCATTGGCAGATGATTAACCATCATGATGTGTTGGTTGGTTTGATACACCGCAGTTGGCGTCTGCGCACCAGGACGGATGGAAGGGCTGCTGTTCTGGATGGTGGCTCTTGGAGGCTGTATCTGAGGCCTCTGAAAGAACTGGGGCAGGGAAGGGAGAGAGGAGAGAAAAGGAAGAACCGGTCAGACTTTCTGGGAAACAAATTGAAATCTCTTTTACCAATATTGTAATTACAATACTACTTCCAAAGGGTTGCCACGCATTCAGAAAACTGCAGGGCAATTTCTATTTATCTGTAAATAGCAAGATCATGCTATAGCCTTCTATTTTACAAGGTAGAAAAAGGTAAGAAACTTTAAACTCCAACAATTATTTGTTTCTATCTACGAAATTATACAGCTCAACTTTCAGAGCAAACATTAGAAAATTTATTTTTGTCAAATATATTTTTTATAAGTGGGTTGACTGCCAAAAGAGCCACCTTTATAAATATGCTCGGGACATAAAAGGTCAAGGCAACTGTTCCAAAATACCTCAGGCACAGTGGAAAAGCCAGATTTTTACAAAGGCCAGAGGCGCCTCATGCCTGTTCTTTATAGAAATTAAGCTGGGTGACTCTTCTTGCCCTCCATTTTCAGAAAGGTGGCGACCTCTTCCACAGTGGCACCAAACTCTTCTACCACGTTTGCATGAAGTGATGCCCCACGCAGATGGACCGGGTCCAGGAAACCAAGCAACCCACTGGTACACGCTCCGTTTTCAACCCTTACGCGCTGGGAAAGGCATCGGCATCCACAGTATGGAGCATTCATGGCATTGGAAGACCTTGCTCTGGAGTCTTTGCAATCTTGAAACTCAGTCGGTAAGATATGCATCAGACATTAACGCATTCACTAACGGAGTAATGATACAAGTGAGAGAGACACTTATGCCATGCAGAACCAGGAGTTAAAATTACCTGTATAGGTCTGAATCCTCCCTTCAATAACGAAGCAAGAAAGCAGCAGGAAACAGAAAGAAAGCCAATGGAACAGCTTACAGATCAATCAGAAGGAGTAGGATATAACATGCACCCTAACTGCATGCTATTTCATTCATCTTTCTGTCCTGCTTTGACTAATCTCTTACAGAAACAGCAAGAAAAAGGCACTGAATTGGTACCAAGGACTCTGCTACCAGAATCCCAAGGCACGGGTCAGAAACTCATCTAGAACAGTTTTATATGGAAGTATAAAAGTTCAAATAAAAAAAAAAAAAAAAAGAAAAAAACCCAAACCATGATTAACTGCAGGAAATATGATACTACAGACAGACTGTGTGTTTACTCTGTTCCTGAAACATTAGTTTTTCCTTTCTGGTCTCTTTCAGTGATACAGCGATAGCAGATAAAGCAGAAACCCTTGCTCAAATCATAGCTTTGGTCTCCGCTTTGCACCGAGACTGGAAGGATAAGGAATGTCGAGTATTTAATTTTTAAGCAAAAAAAAAAAAAAAAAAAAAAAAGTAAGAATTAGGTCATCATACATCACATCAAAGACTGCTGACTGAGGAAGCGCATCGATGCAAATAGTCTGTGAGTAACTACATCAGAAGCGGTGAGAAGAAAGGAGAGTGGTAACCACTAAGGAATGGAAGAATGAGTTGGGCTTATCTGCCTCGGCATGCGGAGAATGGAGTAGGGCGGAAGGAAGCGGTGATGCCTCTACACTTGACATGATGATGAACTTAAAATGGTCATTCTGGCAATGACTTTATGACACCTGAGCTGCTCCCATACCAAATGATTTCTCTGGGAAAGCCACAGATGAATCCCCATCTCAGAAATCCAGATACCATTAAGATGAATGCAATGCTTCTAAGTCCAACCCTGTGAATTTGGATGAAGAATTGTGACCGGCACACCATACAGTGCGACCTGAATTAGGAGAAAGCAACTGTTTGGGGAGAAAAGGGTGGTAGCGAGGGTGCAGAAAGAAAACCAGTAGAGCAACACGCTGCCATGCTCCTGCATTAATAAAAATCATGTGGCTGTGGGGGGAACACACAAGTGCTGCATGGAACAAGGGCACACGCTGAATTTATGGTGAGAGTAATTAAGGGTTTGCAATTTTTCAATATCCAAAGGCACCAAAAAGTGCAAAAGTCCTTTCTTCTTTCACTGCAAATTGCAGAATAATAATTATTTCTAACCTGTTACAGCAGAAGTCTCCCCAGAATGGGGGTGGGGGGTCAGAGGGAAGTCAATAGCCACCATGATTCTGTATTTACGCGGAGTGGAAATGGGCTGGACATTGAAGACCTGCCTCTACCGACAGTAACTACAGCCACAGGGCAGCATGGAGAAGCCTTCAACGCAGAAGACAGGAGTCCTCCGCTGGTGCGAGTTGCAGACACAAACTCCGCTCCTCAAGCTTCTGCTGCACCCACAGAACCTGCTAATAACATCACTGAAACTGCTGAGGAAAAAAACCTTACAGCGACGGAAACTGCCCATTTACGGACAGCTTTTCATTTCCATCACTGGCAACTGATGCCCAAGAAACCCCATTTCATGAAACACAAGCCGGGCTTCTCTTTCCTGCCATAGCAGAAGGAAGGGAAGTGCGCTCTGCGCACCAGAACAGGTGGCATGTGGCACAGGCTTGCTCTTCCGTCAAGCATTAGACACCACCATGCTACCATGCTAAGCTCTCCTACCGCAGGAGGACCTTCGATGAGGAAACTCTAGGTTAAAAAACCCAACCTCTCAAAACCACTCTACACTGCCCACACCATCACAGAGGTAGCTCAAATCTGGAGATGAAGAAAAAAAAAAAAAAGCAGGATTTTCATTACGAAAAGGAAGATGGACACAATGAGAAGAAAAGCAGATCCGTTACTCCAAACAACAAGACCATCAGAAGCTTCTGGAAGTGCCAACCAGAGATCTCTCCGGCAAAGTCTGAATTACTTTTAGCTACTCCACCTCCTGTAAGTAACACCTAAATTCTCAAGGAAATCGGGTATCGTCAGAGCACTGTGCATCTTATTTGTGGGTTTCACTGTGCAAAACACGTATCATCTGGCTGGCAAGCTGTTTTATGCTCCAGCCTTGTTCCTGTCCCTCGAAAGCTAAGCTAGCAATATTCAAAGTCATTCTTAGAAACGTCTCACTGTTCTGACTTGATTTGCTAAAAAATTCGCCTCGCAAGGTTGAACAGATGCCTGCACAGACAACATCCTCAAGTAACGCTAATGATGTCCCATGGGAGAATGCCACGAGATTAAAATCTGAGATGTTTTGTCTCTCTCTCTTCTACTAAGTGCAGGATTTGGAGTGGAGAACATACAGGACCCGCTCAGGACCAGAATGAAGGTCCTTTTTGCTTCCTATGGTCGCTCCCCCGATGTACTTACGGAAGAGCACAAGTAAACCCCTCTCAGACATCGCTTTTATCAGCTGCCTCAGGCTCAGCTCTTAGCCCGCTCATTTAGTAAGGTCTCATGACCTCAGCAGCCCTTCAACTACCTGCTCCAGGAAGTCTTCCTGGAAAATAAAAAAAAGCAAATTGCACACACACTCCAGACAAGGTTTCCCCAGCACTTCCCCAGTACAGCAGTAATAACTCCCTATCTCAACTGGAAATAATTTTTGTGGTTTATGGCGTTGCATCGCACGGGTGCTTTCAGCTGATGAGCTCCCACTTTCCAGAATAAAAGCTTCTCCTTGGCACTGAAGAATAAGGGCTTGCACCTTGCAACGCTGGGTTACACCTTGCTTCCCTCATGCTGGTTCTTCCTGCCTGGCCTCCTTGCGCTAGCCACGTTTCCCAGCTTTGTGCTCATTAAGTTTGCTGCAGACACGTACTTGCTATTTGTGCCAGAGTAATCAACGCTAATATTAAGGAAATCCACTACTAACCTCCTGCCTACCCCTCTCGGCACTACCCTGCCATTTACTTCTCACTACACGCCCCGATATCCTTTTATTAACCACCATCTTCTCCTGCTTAATTTTCTTCCTGCATGACCCGGTGTCAAAAGTCTGTTGCAGGCCAGCCAGATAAGATGCTGTCATCTAGAAAAATCAATGATCAAACAGAGCACCAACCTCCTCCTGATAAACCACCACTGCATTTCAATTGATTTTCTATTTACTCTGTATTTGTAAGCCATCACGTCCAGCAAAATGCCTGTGGAGTGCTCCCTCCGTACTCTAAAAGCTTGACTGAAAAATAAACTTGTGGTAAGAGCACTGAAAACAGATCTATGCTAAGCTTTTCCCATTGAACAAAATGTGCGTAGGCACCCGTCTATTTTTTTCCAGATGGGATCAAGGCCGGCAGTTTCAATGGGTCCACAAAGCAGAAGGTTGCAGAGAAAGGAAGCAAAAGGAAAGTTCAACCAGTTGTCCTCAACGCTATCAAATCAAGTTGCACACCCAAGCTCTCCACTTCAGTGAAGCGTCTCATACCCTGAGACAGCCCTGCTATTAATTTTTAATCTGTTTGATCCCACCAAGAAGGCTGGTGGGACAACCCGACCCTGCCCTGGCAGAGGAAGGAGGAGCTGGCTGCCCAGGCAATACAGCAGGAACCATGTCTACTTGCCGATGAAGGCTGGCACATTCTATTTCACCTTTCAAACTTCAGCACAGGGAGGTTGAGATGGAGTTGAGGAGCTACAGCAGAAAGCCCATGGGGCCACATCTTGCTTCCCCAGTGGCCACACCAGCAACCCAATGCAGC